GCGCTCAGTGGATCTGCGCTCGACAGTGGAGCCTAGACAGAGTAGTCGAACGCAGATCCACTGAGCGCTCAACACAGACAGCATCTTCAGAAGAAGTTGGTAAAATAAATAAAAAAATTGTATTGTTCGATACATATGTGTACCGAACCGAAAGCACTGTATCGAACGGTTCAATATCAATACGAGTATCGTTGCACCCCTACTAACAAGTGACAGGATTGATACCTCAGAGGAAAATAAGGACTGTAAAACTAAACATCAGTGTTAGGGGATCACTGTAGAGCTGCAGCAGTGAGTTTATGTTCATGTTCTACTGTCCACTTTAGGATGTGGCTGTTTGCTGTTTGGCTAAAATTCAGCTGTTAGCTGTGATGTTCTGTTTGTAAAGCACTTTATAAATGAGGACTTTGGAGGAGAGCCTGTGTGAGTCAGCAGACCTACAAACTGGAGTCTGGGTACTCTGGCTTCCTCCCACCATCCAAAGACATGCAGTTAGTGGGGATAGATTAATTGGAAACTCTGCCCATTGGTTTGAATGTGAGTGTGAATGGTTGTGTGTCCCTGTGTGTTAGCCCTGTGACAGACTGGCGACCTGTCCAGGGTGTACCCCGCCTCTCGCCCTGTGACAGCTGGGATAGGCTCCAGTGCCCCCTGTGATCCTGAAAAGCATAAGCGGAAGCGAATGGATGGATGTTTACTACATCACAGGTTACTGCATTCATATCACACCACAAACATTACAGTTTCTTACTGATGATGATTAAAAATCCTGACATCTATCAGCACGTCTGCAGGAAGGCAAATCTCCGCCTGACAGTGGGGCTTCACTTTGTCTCACTCCTAATATACAGTCATCCAGTCAGTGAGGTGATGTGTGGAAAAAACAAAAGGTCTCCAAAAAGTGTGCTTTGAGCTGCCGCTTTTTTCTTTTTTTTTCCCAACCCTCCCTGCAGACGTGCTGAGAAACAGTTATGTTTGTGCTGGTATGTTGTAACCTGTAACCTGTTTTGATCAGCTGATTGCGGTACACTCGGTACCAGAGGAGGAAAAAATATGGTTTTATTATATTATATAACATAAAATATTTCTACTAAAATACCTCTCAATTTTACAGCTATGTGAAAACATATAGACATTTATTATAGTTTTAGATTTTTTAACAATATTGTGTCATATAGGGTTTTTTTTGGGTTTTTTTTTTAATTTTCATTTAAGTTTACTTTGTTATTCTTTTGTTTTTATGTGGAGGTTGTTCATCAGTTTCAGTGTTACTTCTGGTTTAATGTGGCCGTTATGTGTCAGAGAGAAGATTTAGGAAGTTGATAGTGGATGGCACCCTGATCACAGCTCTGCAGAGAACAGCACCGTGCTCTGTCCTCACTAAATGACAAACACAGATCACGTCTGTGCTGCTGAAGAGCTCTCACTGCTTTTTAAAGGAGCTCTCTGTGTTTCTCTGTTCCTCCCTCATGGTTCAGGAATATTCTACATTTCTCTGTTTTAATGAACAAAGTCAACTTACAGTGAAGACAACAGACACAGAAAGGTGATCAAAATTAATACTCTGTCTTCCCTCCCAGCCTGGACTCCATTTACAAATACAGGGACACAAACTCACCTCAACATGTAAAACTGGAACTAAAAAAAGAAGAAATTTCAAAGAACTCTGTATCAACAAGAAAGGAATGCTACTTTCTATCCACGCTCTGAGTTTAAAGTAACTTTTAAGTTGAGTTTAAGTTTTGGTTGGGTAAAAATACTTTTTTAAATTGTTTTTAAAAGCTAAAGAAAATAGTTAGATGTTTTTTCCTTCCAGAGAAAGTTCAGAGACATTAAAACTAAACAAAATGTAATCACAAGCCAAACAAGAACAGGAAGTTCTCCGTCTGATTTTAAACCTCTGTACAATTTGTAGGTCTCAAACAGCTCGGTGACGTTTTCACACAAACTTTAACTTTAGTTTGAACAATTAGTTAATATCAGTTATTAATGTGAACTAATCCCTGATTATCAGTGGGTAGATTTTTTTCTCTATAGGACTCTTGTTGGTTTCTTAGTCCAGTTTACATTTCTAAGTTTCTAGCTGAGACAATGCATAAAAAACTTAGAAATCAGTAAGGGGGCTTACTGATTTTCATGGCACTGTAAATGCTAAGTCATCCTAAACATGAGTCACATGGAGCTTCACAGCTGTGTGGGATAAAAACATTTCCTCCTGTGTGACTTTCAGAGACTCACTCCCTCACCTACATCTACACGGCGCTCTCCAAACCTGTCGGCCTCCCGGGCATCCACCAGTTCACAGCCATGGGTTTGCTGGACGACAAGATGATCGACTACTTTGACAGCGAGCATCAGGTGAAAGTTCCCAAACAGGAGTGGATGAGAGAGCGTTTACCTGCTGATTACTGGGATAAAGGCACACAGTCCCGCAAGACCAAGCAGCAGTGGTTCAAGGTCAACATCGGCATCCTGATGGAGCGAATGAGACAGAATGACTTAGACAGTAAGTCTTTGCTGTTTTAATGATTTAATCACTCAGGTACAATCCATGAAATCTGAAGAACCTACATAATATTAACAAAATAAGATTTTTATATAAAAATTATTCAGCTTGAATTAGCTTGAAATCAAGTTCTTCAGGTCAGAAACAATTTATTTCTGTTTCTTGGTTTAAATTAAAAAGTTTTTTTAACAGTTTCATTTACAGTATTCATCATCTTTTTATATTTTTAAGAAATTCTTTGTTCATTCCTTCAGACCCCCACGTTCTTCAGTGGATGGTGGGCTGTGAGGGTGAAAAACAGACTGACGGCACGCTCAGGTTTGTCCGAGGCGTGGACATGTACAACTACGATGGAAACGACTTCCTGTCCTTCGATGATAAAAACGGAGTCTGGGTCGCTCCGACTCCCGAGGCAGAACCCACCAAGAGGAAGTGGGACGGCGTCCAGGTGCTGAAAGAGTACACCAAGGGATACCTGGAGAACGAGTGCATCGATTGGCTGAGCATGTTCTTGAATTATGAACAACAGCAGCTCAAAAAGAAATGTATGTATGACATGAAAAAGGTTGTTTTAAAATTTATTATTAGTGGAGTCTATAGAAGTAACTATAGATAGAAATAAGCAATAGATAAATTACATAACAGGTTTTTAAAACATGAGACAAACTTAGATATTTACATAAAAAGTGAGGTACATTTTTTAGGTCAACATTTCACATTAAAAGCATCAAAAAGTGTAATTAATATTTAATTATATAATTTGGTTTACTTATAATATGTACAATTAATTAAGCAAAGGATTAACTAAGCTTTGAATTTACCAACCTTGAGCTAGCTGGGATGGTCATTATTTAGAAGAAAGAAAAGAACTTTTAATTTCATTATTAATCCCTTGGGGAGGTCCCCTCAGGGAAATCATGGTTCCAGCAGCACGCCACATTATCTTAAATATAAAAAAGAAAAAATACCAAGCAGGTACAAATAATTAAGAATAAAATATCAACAGCAATTGGGAAAGTGTCAGTGTGTTTAGTTTATTGCCCACCTCTCCCGTCATGTTACCCCCCCCCCAACCCAAGTGCTGAGTTGTATGTTTGATGGCTCGGAGTACAAAGGAGGTTTTAGTCCTGCTGGTTGTACTCCTGGAGAGGAGCATCAGGCTTCTCTGTGCATTGATAACAGTGCAGTGGGTGGCTGACATCGTCCATGATGTTCAGCAGTTTGTCCTCTTCTCTGCCCTTGTCACCAGGGAGTCGTCCCCCCCCCCTCCCCAAGTACATCACCACATAAAAGATCAGCTGGTGGCCACAGACTGGTAGAACAGCAACAGCAGTTTCCT